TTTTTTTTTGTTTTTTTGAATCCTCAGTTTTCAGCTCTGTCCTTCAGTCCAAAACCATCTTACTCCTGAAGCTCCAACGGCTTCTTTCTCCATGTCAGCCATGATTTACGTCTTCTGGAACATTCAGCAGAGTAATGCGATGCCCTCAGGCTGCCGTTACGTTAGGAGGACTGCGTAGCATCCTGATGCGGTGGTCAGCTGGAGGGAACCTGCTGCGTCTGGATCCACCTCTTGTTCAGCTTCTCAGCTTTGGCCTTCTCCTTACAGGCTGGAAAAGGAAAAGTTCTCCAATCAGATCAAACTCTTATTTCAACATAAACTCTTGATGCTCTGTTTGCAGTCACCCATTACAAGAACAAATTTTGTTTTAAAATTAAAGTTCCCAAACGTACCCCAGCCTTTTTTAACAAACTGCACAGCTGCACTCTTGCTTGGGCCCCTCTTGTTCTGGAGGGACAGCAGCTCATTACCTGGAGGGACGAAGACATTAAGCTTAAAACAGGGACTAAGGTTAAGGGTGAAGATCTGCCTAACGGATGTGGATGTTCCCGTTGTGTCTCCAGCAGGACGACCAAAGGAAAGGAAGCCCCAGAGAGACGAGACGGAAAGATTCTGTAGCAAAGCTCAAATTGAGGCAGATCACGGTCTTTGCAGACGACTGCCACAGAGTGTAGCTTGCATATCTTCTTAATTTTACAGCTATTATCAGAGGAACAATCCAAGTTGTCATTCATTTAGATTGAATGAAAACTAATGTACAATTTACAGACATTTAAAAAAAAAAAGTCATACAAGTCTGAACCAACATGGCTGCTCCAGGGTCTATTCATTAGAATCAGGGCTTCTTACTGGTGCTCCTGCAGCTTCCCGCTCCGTACAATCTGGAGCGGATAAAATCCTCGGCCACCTGTCGTTGGAAGTTGGCCGCTTCTTGCTCCTTCACCGTGGTAACCGTGTAGTTTCCCTTCAGACTGAAAGACAGAGCAGCAGAGGAAAGGTGTTTAACTGTTCAGGTGAGTTTTAAATGAGCAAGAGGAGGAGAGTTTTGATTTTACTTCCTGAAATCTAATGTTTTCAAATGTTATCACCGATTTATCTCAGGTTAGATTCACTTTAATGTTAACTATCCTTTTTGATTATACGACCAAATTTGGTGATTAACAGGGTTTTTTTCCTTTTTACCTTCTAACACCTGAGAGTTTCCCCTTCTTCCTCTTTGCACTTCCTTCCTCTTCTTCATCATCATCATTTTCTGGAACCTCCTCTTCAGCTGTAAAAAAAAAAAAAAAAAGAAGCTGAATCAATTATTTCTGACCCTCTGTTGATGCTCAGAATAAAATATTGACCTAATTTTTGAGTCCAACTGGAGACTTTACCTTCATCCTCAGACCTTTTCTGTTCCCTAATAAAAAAAAAGACAAATGTTAAGAGATGAAGGGGAATTTGTTCAGCAAGTGTGAAAAGTGAACTTACTCTAAAGGCGTCGAGTCAATTTTCTCCAACACATCAGCTGGCAGGAACTTCCTTTTCTGTGAATATTAGTTAATTGAATACGATAGAAAAAAACTTTTCATGAAAACTTGACGATTCATGTCAGTAGATGCAAAGTAACTCTGCAGGCACATTTTAAATGTTAAATAAAGTTGCTACCATCTAAATGAACTGGATCTTCATTTCACTGCAGGGTTTCAGTTTTTTTCATGACACAGAAAGCTTGTTTGTCCAGAACCCATTAATGTAGGACATTTTCCATTAAAAAGTTCTCTTAATTTTACCTCTTACCCAAGTTAAATGTAAAATTACTGAGTGCCTTTGGTTTGAAGACTATGTTCTGCTGAACTATAATTACATTATAAAGGTAATTAATAGCCCAGCCCTGGTATTAATGACCAATGGCTCATTTTGTGCCTGTAATAGTGCTAGAGAACAGGGCTAAAATACTGAGCAGCTACATTTAGACAAAGGGGGGACGTTTTGGGAAAGTTGCTCCTATGAATGGTTGACTAAGAACAGCGCATCAATAATTTAAAGGAAATAAAAGTTTGCTGTTATCTGGGCTACAGTTCCACAATAAATCCAGTTATAATATACAGTGGAATATCACAAAAGTCTACTTAGAGGCAATATATGGTGAGGATATATTCCTGGTGGAACCATTATGGCTGAAGGATTTTGAGAAAACATGAACTTAACGCTGATGCATCTTATATGACTGCAGATACAGAATCTAATTATTAAAAAAAAAAAACTGAAGTCTGTGCTTTAGGTTCACAAAACTTATACCCAAGAAACTGAAAAATGTGCGTAGCTACTGTAAGTTTGCTACATATTGTGAAAAAAAAAACACATCTGTAGATAAATCCTTATTTTAATTGTTTAAATAACAATGAATAAAACATTGATTGAGCAAAGAAAAGTAAAACAGACCTTCTGCTCCTGGAAAAACTCCTGTCTCTTCCTCCTCTTCTCCCTCAGCTGCTCCTTCTCTCTGAAAACAGCAGAAAAACACTTCATCACACTCATGATTCAATCGATCTCAGGCCAATGTCCATTACTTTCAGATTATTTAAAAGTTAGTACTAAATTATTTGAACAGAGGAAGAAATGCGCCTAACATGTTTTTTTTATTTTGTATTATGTAATCGGTAAAATCGGCATTTGAATTAGAAATAATAAAAAAAAAAAAGCGCCGCATGATAAGGTAAATACATGTGTTAGTTCTGATAATTTATCCCAAACTCCGGAACGTAGGTTCCATGAAGCACAGCTAGCTGAGTGTTAGCCACCTTCTGGCCGATTCCACCGCCTGTTTCAGGCTCTCAAAAGCCTGAGCCTTCGACTCCTCAAAGGTTACTTCCTCTGGTGCGTCTTCATCGCTAGACTCTATGGCCAACTTAAAATTATCAGCTACTTTTTTGTTGTCAGCCCTTTTCTGCGAAGAGGCGCTTTTCCCACGTTGTTTCTTCACCATGTTGTCCAGCGGGCTCCAGCGTAATGACGTCATCTCTCTGCGCAGCAGTGTGTTTAATGGAGACTGGTGGGGAGCGTCTGCCATCTAGTGACAGCGAAAAGAACCAAAACCAAAGAAAAAAAATCATGGAATTGATTTTTATTAAGTTTATCTAACAAAATAATAGTTTGTCGTATATTCATTAACTTAAAAGTAAAACAACATTTTAGAAGTATTCTTTTGTGATCATCTTTATCACAAAAGCAAAAAATGAATACAATTCTTTTCATAATTAAATGGGAAAACATTAACGTTATTTTTTACATTTTTCTTTACTAATTTTAGCCTATGTATTTCCCCTCCAAGTTTTTTTTTTTGTTAATAGTTTAAATTTTCATGCTTTATTATTTTTTCTTTTTTGTTTTAAAATCAAATAGACATCTGATTTAGTTTATGATGTTAAATATTAGATAATGTTATTTAATTTAAACTATTTTTTTTTTGAAGATTTCGACTTTTTGCTTTTACTTTGAAAGTTGAGTATTACCAAACTACCGGAAGTGAATTCAGCTTATTTTGGGCAGCTTGACGCCGCGCTCCGCAGATCCCGCCGCTTCATCCTGGACCAGCACCGGAGCAGCAAATAACGGGACTTCAGGCAAAATGCACCGATTGTTTCTACTGTTTGTTGCCGCTGCTGGAGCTTCGGCTTTCGGCCTTCCGCGACTGGATGCCGCCCCGGCGGCCGAGCCATGCGAAGCCCCGCTGCAGTGGGAGGGAAAGTGGGTGATTTACGACCACAACACGGGCAGAAACAGCCGGGCCGCGGTCTCCTACGACGGCCAGAACCAGAGGATTCGAGTTCTGCAGCAGCACAAGAAACACACTCCCTGTCAGAGGTACAAACTAGTCCGAGTCAGTCTGGGATTAATCATGGAAATGTAAACAAACAGAAATCCCAGTTTATTTCCTTCAGTGGTTCCTACTTTACATCATTAACTGTGTGAAATTTACTAATTAACGTTAAAAGTAGTTCAGATTTAAACATAAAATATCTAATAAAGACTAAACAAATAATCTGAACTGAACCAGGTAATATTTTATTTATGCTAGATACATTTTATGAAGTTTGTTGTTTCCAGGATTAAATATTAATATGTGCATTCATAAATTATAAATGTATATAATTCCTGCAAGTGCAGAAATATTCTGACCAGACTAATAGATAAGAAATGTATAAATTAGGAGTGTCCTGATATAATTTTTTTTTTTTTTATAATTTCTAAAATGATGCCTATATTTCAGTGTGGATTTTGATCAGTGCTGATATTTGAACAAATCATTGGTGTTTTTATTGCTTATTTCCTAGTGTGGTAAATTGATCAAGTAATATTACTCAAACTAAACAAAAAGAAAATGAAATCTTTCAGCGAGAAAAATACTCAAATAAAGTGATGAGAACAATAACACATTGTTTTAAAGTAAATGCATATAATTAATTTAAGTTATTAATGGTTAGGTCACAAATTAACTTATCTTGTTAACAGGTAATTAGTCGTGACTCATGAACGGGTTTTACTACTTTTTTTGTTGGTCTTATGGATACAGGTTTCATTTCAAATATTAAAAACTAAATCTGCCTTTCTTTAAACTATACTTAAACTACCTATAACCACTGATTCTGTCACAGCAACATACATTTTTAATCAAGGTAGAGTTCATACTCATAGTTTTAAATTGTTATGACCGAATTATAATCCAATGAGTCAGTCAGGATCTCGGTTGGCTGGTGTTTACCTGCAGCAGTCTATGGATGAAAAGCGAAGTACCTGCTCGACAGTTAACCAGTTCATCACAGTGCAACAGTGCATAGACATAAAACCACACACTAATACCTGATAGCAATTCAGAGACACTATTCAGCCTAACAGGTATGTTTTTTTGACTGTGGGAGGAAGCCGGAGTACCTTGAGAGACCTTGCAAACTCCACACTAAGGAAATCAACTAGATAGAAATGGTTCTCATTGTCCATCTGCACAGCTCCATGTAAAGGTTGCTGATAAATAAAAACTTCTAACCTCCATCAGTGCCTGTTTCTGGGGTAAGTTACAACCCTAGTAAACGCGGTAGGGTTCAATAATCCTGTGATGAAACCTCAGGAAATAATGACTGTGTCATAATCACTGTTTTAGGTAGTAACTACATATTAAAGCGTTTGATCAAATTCTGCATCATTATCTCTTGCAATGAAGAAGAAGATGCTTTAAACTAGTGATATAGGCAAAATATTCCAATTTGTTTCTTCCAAAATAAAAATAGAAAAGCTAGTTTTAAATATTAATAATTTACTAAATGTTATTTTTCCCTTAGAGTTTCTAAGAATTAAGAAATGTTTATAGGTTTTTTTATATTTAAGAAATAATCAGATGTTTGTTTAATTTATACAGCTTCAAGGTAAATCTTTCTTGTCTACTAATGACCATTATTACTTTTTTTTTCAGCTTTTTTATTGTCATTATACTGTCACAAGTACAGAGCAACGAATTGAACTCTCTGCATTTAACCCATTCATTTGTGGAGCCGTGGGCTGCCATGGTGGGGCGCCCGGGGAGCAGTGTGGGGTTAAGGGTTTTGCTCAGGAACCCGGAGTGGCAGCCTGTGGGAGTGGGGCTTGAACTCAGAATCTCTGGATTCCAAGAACAATGCCTAATCACTTGGCCGCCACTCCCCTACAAAAATAATTTTCATTCTGACTCTAAGGTACCGCAAGGATCTGTGTTAGGACATTATTGGACATTTTTCCATTGTATCAGATTTTTTTTCTTTTCTTTTTTTGTGTGTTCTCATAACATGTGGGCTGCTTAAGCAGTTTATATTAATCAGCCTTTATTCCTCTGTTTCTTGCATTTCTGCAGAGTTTGTAGAGTAATCAGCTGGGCTGCAGGAATAAACAAACACAAAGTCTCTGTAAAGACTCTAGCATGGAGTTGTGAAATGCCGTCTGGCTGATAAACCAGGCTTCAGCCAGTTTAATCAGTGTTTGTTTGCTTTGTGTGCAGCTTTAGTTTGACCTGTGCTTACAACACAAGCACTCCAGATTGGATTCATACCTCTAGACTCAATAAAGCAAAGAAAAACATGCTTGCAAACTAGCTTTTGTAACAAAATATATTGCACTGTAGACGTTATCTGAAAGACCTGAAATGCAATGCAATATTTGCAATCTACAAATCTATCCCTCATCTTCTTGTTGTTGCAGGTTCTTTGAGTACATCTACCTGTATCAAAGCAAGGTGATGTTCCAGATTGACCAGAAGACCAAAGAGTGCTCGAAGGTTGCTCTGACGGAGGCCTGGGATCCCTTTGACATCCCTAAAAACTCCACATTCGAGGATCAGTACATCATTGGAGGCCCAGGGGACAACGTGGAGGTTCAGGAGTGGTCAGATAGGAAGCCGGCACGCCAGCGTAAGTATGCCGGTCAACGCTCCATGAAACCTAAAGACAGAGGCTGAAATAAAGCTGGAGAATACAGCTGAATCCATTTAAAGCTGTTGAATTCATCTAAGATGCTGAGTCATTTTGGATAAATTGGTTGAATTCTGAGGTGACTCAAAAGTCTGCTTCGTGTGTGATGAGAAGAAAATATTACACAATAAAAAAAAAAAACAATTAAAGAAAATAACAAATATAATTTCCAGTGTGCAAAAAACTCAGTGCCTAACATGCTCATCGTAGCAGCTGCGGCATAAGCCTGCATTTTATTTATCTGTCAGCAGAGGGCGACATCTGTAAGTGAAAAATTTAACTTAGATTGCATAGGGTTAATTTGCTTTACATCCTTTCCATTAAGGTTAATTTCTAGATGTATCTATTCTGGTCTTTCAGTATAACAGACCCTTTATACTCCTGATCAGCCTGTAATTTCCATAACATCTGCTCATTTTGTATCCAGATGAGACTTGGGTTGGAGTTTACACCCTGAAGGACTGCTACCCGGTGCAGGAGACCTACACCAAGAACAGCACCGTCACCACCTCCACCCGTTTCCTCAGCCTGCAGCTGGGCATCAGCGACCCCAATGTCTTCAACCCACCTCTCACCTGCCAGTCATCCCGCCCAGGCAAGATGGCGGAGTTCCACTGTTGAGGCCTTCTCAGGAATCACCGCTGACCTTAGATGATTAACAGCTTATTGAGTTTTTATTTGCTTCCTGGTTAACACATTTATCTAAATATTAAACACTAACTGTGAACAAAACACCCAGAGCTGCTATATAAGTTAGAGCGCCAGTGCTATTTGTTTCTCTGTTAAAGCTGTATTTCAATAAGAAGGAATAAGTTCTCCATAGAATCACTGGTGTGGTGAGATGACAGGGGCAAAACTTTGTTTTTAATGAACCCATTGCTTATCTGAAAGAGTGGAAGCTACTGATTGATTATTCAATGCTTTTTAATATGTGTGATGTGCATATAATAAAAACATTGTTAATAAATGGAATTTGCATACATTTTCTTATATCATATTTAAGAGGTGGTGGTATTACAAAGAGGTGGTTGCTCAAATTTAACCTTTAGATTATCCTGATGATTTCTCCATATTTGTTCCAAGTAGGGTTTTACTTGGCTAAATTTTCCTTAGAATAAACCAAGTGCTCATTCCAGTTTGATCCTCAAAGTTTCTACACATACCAATTAATAATTGGATCAAAATAACTTGCATAGAGCCCTCAGCTTGCAAAACATAAGAATAATTTCTGACATTCCCATTCTTTTGAAAAACATTGGACAAAAAATTTATTTACCCATGTGAATACTTTTTTTGGGTGGGGGCACTGAGGGCATCATGGAGGCTCTCCAGTCTGGTTTTAAACTTTTATACTGCACTGTTATAGGTCTGTCAAGGGTTCTGTTGACAACCTTTTAGGAAATTGCTCTTTCTAAAGATGGGAAATGTCATCCCTATAATAAGGTCTAGGTTTGCTTTAAATCTAGAAAACCTCCAAAAAAAGCACTTCAGAGGTATCCTGATGCTCCAACCACTTGATCTGATA